AATTGGCATTAAGTTAAAATGGAGTTTAAGAATGGAAATAGCCAACTTTTGTCCAAGCTAGCAACCAGTGATCAGCATGGAGAAAATTCTCCTTATTTTGATGGATGGAAAGCATATGATAATGATCCTTTTCATCCTACTCAAAATCCTAATGGTGTTATCCAAATGGGCCTCGCTGAAAATCAGGTTTATTTGAATGTTGCAGAAATATTTCTTGGCTTCTTTTTAGAGAATGAAAAATTTCGGTGATGTTGAGGTTGTTTTATATTCTTTTCTCATTGATTTGGTTGTGATTTACAGCTTTCTTTCGACTTGATTGAGAAATGGATTATGAAAAATCCACTAGCATCAATCTGTACTCGTGAAGGAGTCAAGGCGTTCAAGGACATTGCCATCTTTCAAGATTATCATGGCTTGCCGGAATTCAGAAATGTATAGAAAATGCTCATTTTTTCTAGTGTCGTCTGCATAATATTTTTATTTTTTTTTGTCATTCTACGCGATTCTAACTATTCTCGCAGTTACACTAAGGCATTCTTCTATTCGATTTCTTTCAGGCTGTGGCGAAGTTTATGGGAAAGGTGAGAGGCAATAGAGTTACTTTTGATCCCGACCGCATAGTGATGGCCGGTGGAGCCACCGGAGCAAATGAGCTGATAATGTTCTGTTTGGCTGATCGTGGGGATGCATTTTTAGTCCCTTCTCCTTATTATCCAGCGTGAGTACATAAACATACATGGTTGATGGTTCAACTTCTATTTACTTTGTAATATAAACAGTGTTAGGGATTAACTCCGTAGCCCTTTGTAAATAAGTAGAATGAATCAAAATCACGCTAAGAAAGTACACAGATTCATAGTGGTTCATTATTAATATAAGATGTAGAAAAAATAAATAATGTTTAATAAAAATATTAAGACAACCTAAAAGAGTCCAACGGACAATTGTCGGTCTTGTATACCAGATTACCAGGTCTAAGAAAGAATTTTGACGCCTCCAAGAATGGAAATCTGCCATTTTTTATTGCTCAAGAACCATTTTTTCCTTTCTGAAATGGAGTTGTTGAAGTCGGACAGGTACATCTTTTCTTTAGTAAACTACAAACTGGGTCAAGTAGGAGAGCTGTAATTGAGACAAAGGACTCTCTTTTTCCATCTGGACCCTACCACCTAAGTTATGAATTCCAGACAGAATTCTCCTAAGATAACCATCAAATATTCCAAAACCGAATCGGTCACATCTGGCTACTAAGAAAATTTACACGTTTTACTAGTACTATTGTTGTTCAATTCTCCAAAGTTCAATGACGTGACCGGAGACCGAAAGGCCAATCACTCTCACAAGTCCTCGTTGACAATTAGAAATCCTAATTCTATTATCAATAAATTTCAAGAAAGAAGGTAGACATAAGATTTATAGATGTCGTCTCATTATGAAATTTTCATCATCTGTTACTAAAATAATTCAATATAATGAAAATAAATTTATAAGAGAAAATCGCATACTCTATTTTCTATAACCCCTCTCTTTTCCGATGGTAATACAAAACACTAACGACGGCTCTCTATTTATAGAGGTCGATTCGCATATTGGATCCACACAACATTAATAATTAGACTTCATAACTTAACAAGAACAGCACTACACTTACAGTCATTAGAGGGGCTGTAAATTTTATAGCCCTCTCTAATTAGTGTGGGCCCCACAAATTTACAGCCCCTCTAATGACTGTACAAGTGATTTTTTTGACTTAACAATTTCAGGTTACAGAGTTTAATGAAATGAAGAAATTAATCTTAGTAAAAATATATGGCGAGGGGACATAACTATGTCTACTTTCCTTGTTTTTTGTTTTGTTGTATCGTGACTTTTGACTGAAGTAACTAGAGCACTAAAATCAAGGCAATATTAATCGGTAAAGAAATGTAGCAGTCCATGTACAATATATAGCATAGTCTCAATATACGTATTATATAATTTGCATGTTAAAATCAGTCTTGCTTAT